CTCGTCATGTGGTCTTTTGGGAACACACAATGTTTTCCTCCCTCTCTCAATTCTGTTTATCCGTTCCCTCACCCTCTCTGTGTTTTACTAACCCTTCTGCAGATCTGTTTTCTGATGAGCTTCCTCCACTGCCCATGCCTGACTCTCTTGAGACTGCCTTCCCTACTGGTCTTTCTTAAGCACCTGCCAGCTCTGATGGTCCTGATCTTGCTCCCTCGGACTCCTCACCCCCTGTTGAGTCTCTTCCTCTCGCTCCTCCTCCTCCTGTTCGACCACACCGGGTAATCCAACCTTCTACTCGTCTTCGTGACTTTATTGTTGGTTCTACTGCTTTTTCTACTTATGAACCCACCTCCTATCGGGAGGCTCGCTCTAATCCTCTTTGGCAGCAAGCTATGACTGATGAATTACAGGCTTTAGACAAAACTCACACTTGGGACATTGTTGATCTTCCTCCTGGCAAGACTGCCATTGGCTGTAAATGGGTATACAAAATCAAAACCTGTTCTGATGGCTCTATTGAGCGCTATAAAGCCCGTCTTGTTGCTAAAGGCTTCAATCAAGAATATGGTATTGACTATGAAGAGACCTTTGCTCCTGTTGCTCGTCTCACCTCTGTTCGCAGCGTCATTGCAGTTGCTACTACCCGACACTGGGATCTTTATCAAATGGATGTGAAAAATGCCTTTCTTAATGGTGTTCTTCTTGAGGAGGTCTACATGTAACCTCCCCCTGGGTCTACTTATCCACCTCATAAAGTCTGCAAACTTCAACGTGCTTTATATGGTCTCAAACAAGCTCACCGCGCTTGGTTTGCCAAGTTCAGCTCTACTATTCATGACTGTGGTTTCACCTCCAGCTCTTATGATACTGCACTTTTTATCCGCAAAACTGCTCAAGGAACCACCTTGCTTCTTCTTTATGTGGATGATATGATTATCACCGGTGATGATGTCAATGGTATTCTTCATCTTAAACAATTTCTTAGCCATCATTTCGAGATGAAAGACCTTGGTCCTCTCAGCTATTTCTTGGGTCTTGAAATCTTCCATGATTCCACGGGTTCTTTTCTCTCTCAAGCTAAGTACACATCTGATCTTCTCACCCGTGCTGGTCTTACCGATTGCAAGACTGCCTCAACTCCCCTGGAGCCTCAGAGTCGTCTTACACCTCTTGATGGCACTCTTCTCTCTGATGCTACTCTATATCGCCAGCTCGTCGGGAGTCTTGTCTATCTCACAGTAACTCGTCCTGACATTGCCTATGCTGTTCACATTGTTAGTCAGTACATGTCGGCTCCTCGCACTCCCCACTATACTGCTCTACTCCACATACTTCGATACCTCAAAGGCACTCTGTTCCATGGTCTTCACTACTCTTCTTCCTCCTCTCTTGAACTGCGTGCCTTTTCTGATGCTGATTGGGCTGGGGATCCTACGGATCGACGCTCCACCACGGGCTTCTGTTTCTTCTTAGGGGATTCTCTTCTCACTTGGCGTAGCAAAAAACAATCCCTCACTGCCCGCAGTACTGAGGCCGAATATCGTGCTCTTGCTGATACTACTCAGGAGCTTCTCTGGCTTCGTTGGCTTCTTGCTGACATGGGCGTTTCCCCTTCTGGCGCTACCGCCCTCTTTTGTGACAATCAAAGTGCTTTTCAAATTGCTCACAATGATGTTTTTCATGATCGCACCAAGCACATTGAGATTGACTGTCATTTTATTCGTCAACACTTCACTCGTGGTACTGTTCATCTCCATCCAATCTCCTCTGCTGATCAACCTACTGATATCTTCACCAAAGCTCATTCTCCTGGCCGCTTCGTTGACCTTGTCTCCAAATTCCAGTTGGTTGATGTTTGTCCTCCTTGAGTTTGAGGGGGGCTGTTAACATATATTAATATAATGTAACATATATTAATATGTATATATATATATTATATTAACACACTCAGATGCCTTTCGGCTGCTTTCGGCCACTTTCTAATATTTTATGTAATGTAACATAATGATATTGTAAACAATAGCTCCTATAAATAGGAGTCTCCTCTTCCTCTGTCAGATAATAGATTCAAGAGATTTCTTACACTTTCTTATTTCTTTCCTTGCACTCTCTTATTTCTTTCATAAATCAAGCTTGAACAGCTTGTATGTACGTAGTCTTTGAAACAAACAGGTCTTATATTTGAATCCCACACAATTGGAAAAACCACTTAGTTTAAGATTTTCTAGCATGGTATGGGCTAAGTATTATAAGCCAACTTTTGACAATAGTTTTCCTAATTGCTTTTAAGGTTGTTAATGAATAATATATACAATAATGTTTTGATTAATTAAACAATAAAAACTAAGTCCGCTCACGTCCCTATGTCGTTTTCTATTTCTATCCGTTTTTACTCTATACTATAACTATAATTGGGTTGGACAAATAATTTTTTAATAATTTTTTTTGTTCACTTTTTAAAAAAAATATATATATAAAAATAAGATTGATCAGAAAAATTTAAAAAAAAATAAAAAATCACTAAAGACCCAATTTTTTTTAAATATATATTTTTGTCTTTTGTTAGTTTTTTTATTTATTTAATTGTTTCAAAGTTAGTTTGTTCTACCTAAAAAGTTTTTTTAAAAAAAATTGATACAAATTTAAAAAACAAAAATCACTAAATAAAAAATAACTCAGAATTAATATATATATATATATATATATATATAATTTTTTTAGTTATTGGGCAGGAAAAATTAAGAGGGTGGTGAGGACAGAACAAAAACGAGAAGTTGTCAATGTAATTTTCACCCTTACTTGATTCTTAGGAAATGTGGTATTTTAGTATTTTTAACCTAATTCATCATGCGGTTTTATTTTTTTTTTAATTTGTTTTATTTTTTTCGTTTTTTCAAAAATGACTAAAAATTAATTTAAAGATAAATTTAAAAATCTAAACACTAGTCGTTTTCATATGATTCTATTTCTGTTCGTTTTTACTCTCTACTATAACTGTAATTGGGTTTGACAAATAATTTTTTTTGTTCACTTTTTTTTTAAAAAAAACAAAATTGATCAGAAAAGTTAAAAAATAAAATAAAAAATCATTAAAGACCCAATTTTTTTTTTAAATATATTTTTTTTATCTTTTGTTAATTTTTTTATTTAATTGTTTCAAAATTAGTTTGTTTTGCCTAAAATTTTTTTAAAAAAAATGATACAATTTTTTTTTTAAAAAAAATGACTAAATAAAAAAATACATTTTTGTGGGTTAAATTAAATACTTGGTGAATTTGATTCAAAGTAAAACGGATTATGTTAAATACTTGCGTTGAGTTAAATACTTGTAAGTTTAATATATTTTTTTTTTCATGAAGACAACTAAAGTAATACACACATATATACATTGATTAAGAGGGTGTTGAGAACAGAGCAAAAATGAGAAGTTGTCAATGTAATTATCACCATTACTTGATTCTTAGGAAAGTTGGTATTTTAGTATTTTTAATCTAATTCATCACGTGGTTTTATTTTTTTTGAATTTGTTTTCATTTTTCTTTTTTTCAAAAATGACTAAAAATTAATTTAAAGATAAATTTAAAAATCTAAAAACTAGTAATTTTCATGTGATTCTCTTTTTTATGTCAAAATCATTTTTTTTTTAATTTTAAAATATCCTTTTTGTAAATTTTTTGTTTTGTTTTGGGTGAATGGGCATCTCCAAGTAAATGTTTGGGAAAATTACACATTGTATCTCTATGCTTTACATCAGTCTCACTTTCCCTTGTAATCTTTTAATTCTCGCAATCAATCCCTAAATTTCGAGTCAAGTTCCAATTGGGCTGGTCGTATAATTTTGTTTCAAACTTTAACGGAAGGACTAAAGTGGAAAGGCAAAAATCAAATTTTGGTGAAAGTACACGGGTGTCAAAAATTAAAGTGAGATTTTAATAAAAATTTGAAGTAATTAAGTGTAATTAATACTATCATGTACTTGTTCTCTGTTAATTTTCAAAATGCTATTATGCAAATGAAATCTATTATAACTTGTCTCGAAATTTGAAGAATTAATTAAAATAATTAAAAGTGAAAAGGTAAAATTAAATATAAAATTTAGAGGTGCAAAAGTGAAATTTATCCTAAATGCTTTTAATTTCTTCTAGGAATGGACGGTGCCTCTATTTACACACCATCTTTCATCTCAAAGCATACCATTAATTAGTTTTTTTTTTATTATAATTTTAACCTTAGATAAAATGACCACAAAGAACAAAGGATTGTGATACACACTATTTGTATAATTACCATAAAGAACAATAATGAATATAATACACATCAAGAATCTCAAACGTTCCTTACATATTTTGTCTCTCAAGAATCCAAAAACCCCAAAACAAAAACCCAAAACCGTTAAAAGAAACAACCAAAAATATACATATTATTGAAGATTTTGATTGGATTGAATGATTAAGGCATCTGGTGATACTAGTTTGAAACAATGGAGCAAGTAAAAGGTGATTTTTTCATTCTTTTTTTTTTCATTTTTATGTACTTGCTGAGTGGTAAACCGTTTGTATTAGTTTGGTTATCCAAAGTCGAATAGTATATTCATGTTCAACTATCCAAAACCGTACAAATTGTATTTGTTCAATTTACTAGTGTCAAACAAACTCCAATGTTTTGGTTTGTAAGTATCGAACACACAAAATCTGTTTGGCTACTAATAGTCGAACGTATCTGCTTTGTTCGACTCTGTACTGCTGAACACGTACAACAATTTTTATTTTTTTTTGCTTTTTCCAAAACTTTGCATCCACGGAATGCAGTAATGTTGGATCCGAGTGCCTTGTTGACTACACAAGTCAATTTATTACTAATGAGGTAGTCTCATGTCGAAAATTAGTATATATATATATAACATGTTTAATGACTTTGGTTAATTTGACATGTAGGTTTTCAAGAGCAAAAAAGAATTGCTCAGTTAGGTACGGGATGTTAGAAGGAAAAATGGTTTTATGATTGTCATCAAGACATCAGACTATGGTGGTAGTCACAGAACACCAAGGATATATCTTGCCTGTGAGAGAAGTGGTCAATATAAAGCTCATAAGAAACTAAAAGGAGATGATTCAAACAAAAAAATTGTGAAGATAATGGATACAAAGAAATGCGGGGGTCCCTTTGAGTTGAGGGCTCATAAGTTGATGATTAATGATGATTGGATGGTAGATGTAGCATGTGGAATACATAACCATGCTCCTGCTAAACATTTTGAAGGACATTCATTTGCAGGGAGATTATCTGAGGGGGAAACATCATTATTAGTGGATATGTCTAAAAGCATGGTCAGACCAAAAGAGATTTTGGTTACCTTGAAACAAAATGATGCTTTGAATGTAACCACTGTAAAAACCATTTACAATGTACGTCAAAGAAATAATGTTATTGAGAAAGCTAGGAGATCACAGATACAACAATTGTTGGGTAAATTAGAAAAGCATAATTACATTGAGCAGGATAAGTGTGACAACAACACGATAAGTATCACAGACTTGTTTTGGGCACATCCTGTCAGTTTAGATTTGCTCTGTTCATTTTCAAAGGTGTTGATCATGGACTGCACATATAAGACAAATCGATATTGTCTTCCTCTTCTTGAGATAGTTGGTATGACATCCACTGATATATCATTCTCCGTAGCCTTTCAATTTGAGTGGATTGATAACTACGTTTGGGTGTTAACTACATTGCGTAGTCTCTTGGATGACATTGCTATTCCTGAGGTTTTGTCACGGACAGGGAGCATGCTTTGATGAATGCTATTGACAGGGTATTTTCTACATCTCGATATTTATTATGCTGATGGCATATTAGAAAATATTTGAGAGTAAGGAGAAATGGGACAAGTTTATCTCTTCATGGAATGTCTTAGTACTTTCCTCAACTGAGCTTGAATACAATGAACGCCTTGCTATGCTACTTGCAGATTTTGATACATATCCTGAGACAATGCAATACGTGTCACAAAGTTAGTTAATTTCAAATGAGAAAAAGTTTGTTGCCGTATAGATAGATAGTTGTATGCACTTCGGGAATGTTACAACAAACAGGTAATATATATTTGTCTACCTCACACTATTAGTCATTATTGTTTTGATTATTTGAACTTAATTATGTTAATTGTTTCCATTGTACATAGGGCTGAAAGTGCACATGCAAATCTTAAACGGCAACTTGGTTCTAACCAAGTCAATTTTGAGTATTCTTGGACCAAGATTCATAGTTTGCTTGAGTTACAACATGTTGATATTAAGGCATCGTTTGATAAGAGTTTAACCGTTGTACAACACCAGTTCAAACCATCCCATTTTAGAGAGCTCCGAAGCAATATCTCTATTACTGCATTAGATCATGTCTTAGCGGAGAGTAAGCGAGCGGATGATGTTAGCATTGATGCTTCAGTATGTGGATGTGTTGTTCGACGAACACACGGGTTACCTTGTGCCCATGAAATTGCGGATTACATCCGACAGGGTCGTCCAATACCACTTGATAGCATTAACCCACACTGGAGGACTCTTGAGATAGTACAAAAGTTAAAGAATGATAAAGTGGAATTGAGTTGTGAACCAAAGTTTGATCTCATACTTAAGCGATTCAATGCATCTGATTATACTATGAAGTTGGAAATTCTGCATAAGTTATGAGAGATTGCAAATCCGCAAAGTACTTTTCTGATTAAGCCGGATGTGAAGCCCAACCTTCAAGGTAAGGGACATAAGAAGCTCTTTAGTACTGATGGATCTGATGGCCTCCCAGGAAACGAACCAGTGAGTATCTCCTCAGCCTGATCAACATCAGCAGCATCATCATCATCCCCTGAACCATTATCAACTACATCATCTTCCAAGATCTGAGGTGCTTCCTCCAACATAATATCATCACCCTGACCCTGACCTCGACCTTGACCTCGACCTCGGCCACAAGGAGGATTTGTTAATACACGACGTCGTCTCTCTGAGGCAGTGGATAGAATACGCGAAGGGTCATCACCTCGACCTCTACCGCGACCCTAACCTCGACCTCGGCCATGAGCAGGATTTGTTAATGCACGACATCGTCTCTTGAGGCAATGGGTGGAATACGCGAAGGGTCATCAATTTCTGAAAAAGAAACAGAAAACAATAAAGTTAACAGAAGTAACACAAATCATTTATGTTAAAATACTCACAATCATTCAAATTCTTGTTTCTTTAAGTTCAGAATAACCCATCATTTTTACTTTTGTGTAGAAACAATTTTTGAAACTGTAAAACACAGCAAACTTTTTAGTCTTTTAAAAAAATGTAAGTTGCGTTGAAAAAATATTCCTAAAACAGTTTAAAAATGAATTTTCTACATTTTTTTTTGGAAAAATAAAAACAAAGAATTAGAAGTTGTAATTTCTTCACAGTGACTTGTTTTGTAAAATTGATTAGGACTGCATACCAACATTGGGTAACATCCTTGCTTTAAAAAAATAATTACAAAAAAAAAAAAAAAATCAACAGCAAAATTAAGCAGATCCTAGTATGGAAAACATAGCACAGAAGTGAAACTGTAAAACAAAGCAAACTTTTTAGTCATTTAAAAAAATGTAAGTTGCATTGAAAAAATATTCCTAAAACAGTTTAAAAATGAATTTTCTACATTTTTTTTTTGGAAAAATAAAAACAAAGAATTAGAAGTTGTAATTTCTTCACAGTGACTTGTTTTGTAAAATTGATTAGGACTGCATACCAACATTGGGTAACATCCTTGCTTTAAAAAATAATTACAAAAAAAAAAAAAAAAAAAGAGCAAAAAAAATTAAGCAGATCCTACCTAGTATGGAAAACATAGCACAGAAGTAACACTCTATTTGATTATGTGAAAGCATAATAAATTGATTTTATGAAAGCATAGTGGCTATACAATCTATTTGAGTTAGAGGATTATAAAGCTAACACTCTATTTGATTATGTGAGAAACGGTGAGAAAGATAACACTCTTATTTTGCTTGTTTTGTTTTCTCACAAAAAGTGGTGAGTTTTAGTGAGAAACATGATGGTTGGTTATAAAGATCAACTTAAAGAAAGGGATGCTCTTTCTCGTATTATTTAATATATGAATATGAATGGGTTATTTGTTATTAAAACCATTCTAGCCTTGCTCAAACTGTTAAGTCAAGAGTCAGTTGATTTTCAGTAAATGATTTATAGGAGCTGAATATTTTTTTTTTAATATTTTTTATGTAATGTATTATTCTAAATTCAGTTGGTTACTTTTGTTCCCACAGTATTCCATTTCATCAGAGGAATTGGTCTGGCCCTCTAGCTAATGTTCACAACAAAGAAATCAATAAGAAAAAAAAAAAAAACACACATATAATGTTCGACAGTACAACATCAAACATGTTGTTAGTGTTCAACATTCTAGATTTGAATTATATATCAGGTTCGACACTAAGATGTCGAACATGTTCGACAATAATAGACCGAACAAATTGCTATTGTTCGAAAGTCAAGTGTCAAACGACATGTTGTTCGACAGAAATCGACCGTACAGATGTTAGGGGTTCGAAATTCCAGTGTCGAGCGGTTCGAAAATTGAATCATTCAAATACAAATTTCATGGCAATGAAAAAAAGTACATAAAACCCTAAAATCTAAACCAAATGAGAACTCTGCATCTCCAATGTGGAGTTGTTTCCAACTGTGTTGAGCACCATCGATGACGTCTTTGATGAGAAAAAAATGAATTGAGCAATGGGTCTTCACCACTGCTTTAACCTGGTTGAGAATAGGTCTTCATCGGTTTAAACAGAGAATGAGGGGGAGATGAAAGATTGTGGGTGGGTGGGGTGTGTGAGTGAGTGATGGTAAAGATGGAAGATTATGGATAGATTGTGGGCGGGGTGTGTGAGTAAGGGTAAAGATGGAAAATTGTGGTGTGTATTGAGCAAAACATTTATTTATCAAATTACTAAAAGTGTGCCTTAAGTAATGGTTAGCCTTGAGACAAGATGTGGTGTATAAATAGAGGCACCCTGAATGGACCTTTTTTTAAATAAAAAAAAAAAATTCATTTGACAACTTCATGCTAGTCGTGAGTTTCTCTATTTTGTTTTCTTTTGCCTTAGCTATTGTATAGGATTGACTGAATAGAATATGTTGCGCCAACTTAGACGGTAGTGCTAAACGTACTAATAAGTATACTAATGTTAGTTATGATATTATTATTGACTCCAATCATTAATCACATTATAAAATATCAAAAACCTTTTAAATTATGACATATCATCAATTGGTATACTAGTTAGTACACTAATTGGTGCATATAGCATTATTTCAACTTAAATCATATCGGAAAAAGATTTTGAGATTCTTAAAAAAAAAAAAAAATCGTAATTTTACTTAAAATATTAACAAGATAAATTATGTATTAATCTTTAATTTATGATAAATTTAATTCTATAAAATTTAATTTTTTTTATCATATTATTATGAGTAAATTTAAAAATTCAAATTATAGAATCCTAACCGTCCTCGTTTGGATAATATTTTTCTCTAATGAAGCATTCTTGGGCCAAGCTTTCATCTATGTAATGCTCAGAATGTAATTTTCTTCACTTATTAATATATTTTGTCTTTTTGATCAAACAAAAATAAAAAGAGTTCAAAAGATTAAAAATGAGTAATAAAAAGATGAAAACATAAGACGTATATGAATGTTTTGATGTTTTGCTTTTATTACATTCAGAAGTTAAATTATATATATTTATATATAGCTATAAAAAGTGTTTAATTAATGTAATTGGATCGGACAAGACGAAAACAAGGTAGGAATCAGTTTTTTTTAGAGTTAATTATATTTTTAACTCTTATAATTTGATTTAAATTTTACTTTGATTTTTATTATTTTAAATTGAACAATTTGATCCTTGTACTTTAAATCTAATTTTAGTTTAGTAATTTTTTATTTTTTTTTTGTTATGTAGGATATCTTGGGCCAGTTTACGCGCACCAGACTATGCCTCTACAACCCGAACAAGTAGTTTAGTACTTTTGTTCAAGTTGTAGGTTGGAATTAAAGATTTTGGGACATTTGTCAGTCTCCTAAAGTATACACGTCGAAAACATTACCGAAAATTTGAATAGAGGGATCAAATTAAAGCAGGACCTAAAGTGAAAGTACTAAATTATTTAAATTAAAACTAGGAAAATGCTTTGTAGCACTAAAAAAAGTCCCCCTAATCCCCCTAATTTCCTTTTTGAGAAACTGTTTTTTTTTTTTTTTTTTTTTTTTTTTTTTTTTTTTTTTTTTTTTTTTTTACTAAAAACGGAAATTGTGGGGATTCGGGGGACCCCCGTTTCGGGGGACGAAGCACTACCCTTAAAACTATAAGAACCAAATTATATATCTGAGGAGATATGATGGAATAAGAAAAAATTATTAAGTGCTGCAGAGGCACCGGATAATACACCCACTAATCCATGATCAAACACAAAATCATAAACTCTATCCTTTCACCAATCACTGGACTCTTAAGCATCGCTTGTCCATTCCAAGACTCCCAAATAACTTCTCTAGAATAAAGGTGGAGCCGAAACAAATTGTTTTGCCTACGTAAGAGTGAAAAAATTGATCAAATCAAAGGTTTGATAAGAAAGCTAGTGAATTTGTGTCCAGAGCTTACCTTTCGAGAGGAACAATATGGTTGGTGGTCATCAGTCTACTTTGAATTATGAACAGATAAATGAAAGTCTTGTGTTTTTATGCAATTGTAGATCCATTTGTTTTCACTTATTTAGCTTAAATCTCAAGGGTGTGTTTGGTAATGTTTACGTTTTCAGTTTATATTTACAAAAATTTTATAAACTAGTTTTTGTTTACTTTTTGTTTATTTTTAGAAAAACATAAACTACAAACGCGTTTGGTAATTGACAAAATATTTAAAAAAATTAAAAAATATAAAAAAGAGCGAGAAATGACAAGTGGTGGCAAGTGGCGGCAGAAGACGGTGGTGGAAAGTGGTGACGGTGGGTGGTGGGTAGCTGGTGGCGGTAGGTGGTGGCAGGTGAGTGGGTGGTGGGTGGCGGGTGGGTGGGGGACGGTGGCGAGTGGTGGGTGGTAGCGAGTGGGTGGTAGTGGTGGGTGGTGGTGGCAGGTGGATGGTGGATGGCGGGTGGTGGTGGTGGGTGGGTGACGGTGGCGGGTGGTAGGAGGTAGCGAGTGGGTGGTGGTGGTGGTGGTGATAGGTGGTGGGTGGTGATGGCAGGGGGCCTCTCCGATGCCTAAGTCAGAAAACTTGACAAATAGACAAAGCTCTAAGTTTTCAGAAAGATTGTGTTTAAAATTACCTCCTCCAAGGTGTTGCTTGTGAGCTTTTATAAGTTTCCCGTGGCACAATCCTAGTAGGACTTGTACTTCTCCATGCAGAGTCCTCCTAGGATTCATTCTTCTAAGGATAATGCTTATCCTTTTACACCCTCCCCCACTGCTTAAACCAAGTGGGATGGTTTTCTTTATGGCCGAACTTCCATTTGACCGAAGTAAAATTGGCTATACCGAGCCACAGAGGGCCGAACTATCCTTAGCTCGGTCTTCTCCTCTAACTCATTACTTCGGCTGTTCTGTTCAACCTTGACGTACTTAGATCAAACTTCCAAGTAACAAGTTCTGACCG